GGGACTCCAGGATCATGACCTGAGCCAAAGGCAGTCGCTTAACCAACTGAGCCACCCAGGTGCCCGACAAGAGGCTGTTTTAGATTAAAGTAGCCTGAGAGCTGTGACAACCAACTACAGTGTGAGATGCTTGATCAACTCCTCAGTCATCCCCCAAATAACCAACTATGACAAACATTTTGGGGACGACTGGGGAAATGTGAACATAATATTAGATGGCATTACTCTATTTGCGTTAAATTTTTCAGACTTGATAATGATACTGTGGTTGAATGCCCTTGTTCTTAGGAGGTATATGTTAAAGTATTTAGAAATGAAATGGCATGAAAGTCTGCAACTTCTGTATTACTTAGGGGGGGAAAGCAAATAGGTAGGTTGGTAGGTAGATAGGTAGATAAAGCAAAGATGGCAAAATGTTAATAGCAGGTAACTCTAGGTATACAGTGTACACTGCATTCTTTTTTAAAATTTTCTGTAGATTCGGAATTTTTCAAAATTAAAATTGGAGGGGATCTTAGCTTATGTAGTTAGGAGTGAAGTATATGCAAATATCGGTGTTTGGTTGCAGGGCTTAGCCAGAGTCCAGCTTCTGAGGTATGGATTCTAATTATACTGCTGTCATTTTTTTCTTCGGGGAGTGGGAATAGTGGAAAGAATCTGGATGGAAATTGGAGAGATCTGGTTTCAGTTATTTTCTCCAGCTTACTAGCTTTGTGACCTTGGGTACCTTCTGAGCCTCAGTTCCTTGGCTATAAAATGGGTAGTTGTAAGGATTGGAGACACTGTTCCTTGAAAAAAAATGTTTTGCATATATTAAGTCCTTAATAAATCATTTAACTTTTAACTTTTATCATTTAACTTTTATTATTAAAATTATTATTCACTCCTTAGGAGATTCTTCAGTCTTTCATTTTTAAGTACTAGCAGTGCCTATTGTTCTAGAGAAGTGTGTATATATTCTGCAAGGTTGGCTGATAGTCTGACATGGGAAACCATATTTTAGCCTGGTCACCAGAGATAGACTATGTTAATCAAATCAAGGTTTTATTTCTTGCTTCCCCACCCACCAGAAATCGTTAGAACTCTGGTCACTGTTTTGATTTGATCACTTCTTAACTTTCACTTTCTTAAAACAGTGGGAGTATTTTCAGGTGTCAGTAATTACCTACAGACTATCAGTGTATATGGTCATAGGGAGTAGACTTTTAAAAAATAACTTACTTTCTGGTTATGTGAATAATTCCTATGGAAATTTGTAAATTACCAGGAAGAACACAATAAAAAAAAATTGTCCCTATAATCTCACTGCCTCAGAGATTACTACTGTTACTATTTTGTGTATCCTCCCAGTCTGTTTTTCTAGGTACAGAAATTGCACAAAAATGATTTGTTTGATTGTTATAAAATTAGGATCACATGGAGTGATGTCAGTATTTGAGCATATTTGTGCTTTGGTCACTGTACGTTGCTGTGACCGCTGTGTTTATGAGGCTGCATGGCAATTCTCGATCCTTTTCCCCTGCAGCCCAGCACACTTCCCTGGGCAAAGCCTGGGAATGGACTGCAGCCTGGATAGCCTCACCCCGTCACCTCATCCTGTTGAGATTACCATTGCTAGTTAGGTTTGGTGCATAAACTTCCAGGTTTTGTTTTTCCTGGAATATATTCATGGTGGCTTTTAAATGGATCATTTCCCTTAGTGAAAGATTATATTAGAAACTCTGGTGGGAGTTACTGAGTTACCATAAAATGGGACTGGGTGACCCCCGATTTGAGGGACTTGTGCCTGATGAAGTAGCCATCTGTTCTACAACTCCTTCAAACAGTAGAGTGTTATTTTCATAGCTCTTCTCTCCCCTCCTATTTCTGGTGAGTGTGATTGTTTATATGATTTGAATCGAATATGTTTTAACATCAGAAATCAAAAGTTAGCAGAATTAATAACATTTTAAGATCACCAAGTACTGATGAGATTACCTTTAGAGATGTTCCTCTTTTTTTTTTAAATTTAGATTTGTTTTTTTTTTTTAAAGATTTTATTTATTTATTTGAGACAGAGAGAATGAGAGAGAGAGAGCACATGAGAGGGGGGAGGGTCAGAGGGAGAAGCAGACTCCCTGCCGAGCAGGGAGCCCGATGCAGGACTCGATCCTGGGACTCCAGGATCATGACCTGAGCTGAAGGCAGTCGCTTAACCAACTGAGCCACCCAGGCGCCCCTAATTTAGATTTGTTTTATGATAGAAGAGTTTACTCCCCTCCCTGCCTCTCATTTTGCATTCTAGAAATGGCTGAGCAGGAGCGCTTTCTCTTGCACCAGGAGACCCTGCCTGAACAGCTGCTGGCGGAGAAACAGCTAAGTCTCAGTGCGATGCCAGTGCTGACGGCCCCTCAGCTCATCAGCGTGCGTGCTTTTCCCATCCTTGCACCGTTCCTCAGTCTCAAAACAGCATCGGTATTTCTTGAGTCAGATGGTGTAGTTCCTATGAGTAGTCATCTCCCCGCTTCCTGTTTTTCTGGTAACTTTCCCCTTCCCCCAGAATAAGTTGTTAGAAGCTGCTTGAGAGCAGGATGCACATTAGCAGAAAGTAGTGGGTCAGCCTCTGCCTCCCTGTAGATCTCCACCTGTTCCTAGAGGTGCTCATGCCGGTGACCAGAAGAAAGTACTTGTATTTTCTTTTCCGGCATAGGACATGTAGGTACCGTGAGGTACAGTTCAGGCTGTTCCGTAAGAAAAATGGTTTAAGGAACTGGATTTTCATAGCCTATAAGTACCATCCTCACCCTTTTCCTTTGGAACATAACACATTCTTAAGGGCATAGCTAGGTTATGCGGCAGCCTGGGTAAGATACTGTTGTTGTTAAGTACACATGTAGCCTTAACTCTGCTTCTCTCTTTGCCTTTCAAGAAAGCATTGCAAATGCAAGAGCGAAGTAGGATCACTTTGAATTTGCTCTAATTTTATTAAAAAGACAATTCAAAAACTTCAGTATTTTAGACATTACTAGTAACAGATTTCCTATAATTGAGCTCACAACGGCCTCTCCTTATATAGCATATTGCAAAGAATATGCTCAAAAGAATACTAAAATATGTATACTATCTTGAGCCTAAGAATATAAATTTACTGACATTTTAAAAGTACATATACCAAGATTTGCAAATTAATTACAGTTTATTATGAGGATAGATGGAATGTGATTTCCAAAGATGATAGTCTTCTTACTATAAAATAAAAATACCTTTGACTTACTTAAAAGACAATGACATATTATTTTCTCCATAAATTTCTCTAGTCTTGGTTATAGGATTACTTAAAATAATCCTCAACTTTATTTGAACTTTCTATAGCTGTATATATGTGAAGAAAACAGAAGAGCTAATGAATATGATTTCAAGAAAGCTTTGGACTTGCTGGAATATATTGATGAGGTAAGTAAAATCACTTGAGATGATCACAGGCAAGTATCACAATTTATATATATGGTTTTTGGTAGAACTGAATACCTATAAAAAGAGAAAAAAATACCTCTTTTAGCCAATCATGACAGTGTGTTAATTTAGAAAGACTCTCTGGTTCAGCTATTCCTAACTCTTGGAATGTGTGTAGCTCTTTAAAAAGCTGTCAGGAGATTCCCTTTCTTGATAATTCTCACACATTCCCAGATGTCTTTTTCTGTGCATGAATAAAAAACACGGCTTTTCAGAGTCCTGAGGTATTTTTTTCTCTTTCATTATTAAGTCATTATTAGTTCCTCAGTCTGATATATTGCTTTATCAATTTATTCTTCACAGTATTCACCCTAAGAGGAGCTGTTTCTCAACCTTCTTTGGGCAGGGGGGCTTTAAATGACAATTCTGTAGGTTAAATAGTTGGCCCTGCAATTGATAGATTTTTAAAATGTAGTGTATTGGCTTTTATGTTACCTTATTTAAAATCTTAACCCTTTCAAGTTTCCTGATAAAATCAGATTATCACAGAATAATCAGAAACTAATTCTCACACAGTTACTAATTGGCTTATGCTTCTGAGTATTCATGTCTTAAATTTTTTTAAATTATGAATTAAGGTAAATCAGTCGTATTTATGCAGAATTAGTTAACATAACTCAAATTTAAGCGTGTATTTTTTTAAAATCAGCACTTAATGAGGATTTTTTTGTTTTACTATAAAGGAGGAAGATGTAAATATAAATGATCTAAAACTGGAAATCCTTTGCAAAGCTCTTCAGAGAGATAAGTAAGTTCTCATAGCATGAATCTAAGCTATGGTTTTAGAAAAGGACTCTTTAGGAAGATTATGATATCCTATATCAAATGGTTTTGTAACCTAATTGTATTCTAACATAATTATAAAAATTTTATTGTGTGCATTAGTAATCTAAATTTTTCATTCAATAATTAAGGAAGAGTTTAAGGACTTAGGACCACTGGTATAATAAATCTCTATTTTTGATTTTATTTATTTGAGCGAAAGAGAGTGGGGGTGGGGTGCAGAGGGAGAAGGGGAGAAAGAGAATCTCAAGCAGGCTCCACGCCCAGTGCAGAACCCAATGTGGAGCTTAGTCCCATGACCCTGAGATCATGACCTGAGTCAGACGCTTAACCGAGACACCCAGACGCCCCTCTACTTTTGATTTTAAAATTTGGACTGTCAATTTGCACAGAAATATATATGTTCCTGATTTTCACAGAAGTTGGGCCAGTTCTACCAAACAAGAAGCTGCATTTTGTTTTAAATAAAAAGTTTATTAGAGTATCAGTACTCTCTTTAAGTTACTGAGACCTCTTTTTCATGATTATCTCCTTCCTGAGAAGGGAGATATCTATGGGAAATGGTGGCAAAGAAAGGTGGTGGCAGTGAAAGACTGAGAATAATCAGTTGGGGGGTTGAATTGTTTCTAGGAAAAGAATTTTAGAGAACGTGACTTGAGTGCTAACACCCTTTCCTACTTACAGTTTTCCTTTTTATATGGTGCTGAGAAATTGCAGTAGAACTATTTTTACTAAAGCATTTCTCCCTCTGATCACTCCCAAATAGTTAAAATTGTTGTTCTGTTTGGTCTTGGAGGTCACTCTCTGAAGCATCTAGCTCTGCCCACTTGATTCTCCTTCCTAATCTTAAAAAAGTATGCTGTCATTTGACTGGAATTCCTTGTCATGGCTTCACATTTAAAAACTTTAAGGTATTGGGGTGCCTGGGTGGCTCAGTCGGTTAAGCGTCTGCCTTTGGCTCATGTCATGATCTCTGGGTCCTGGGATTGAGCCCCACGTCAGGCTCTGGGCGTGGGTGTGTGTGTGTGTGTGTGTACCCCCCCCCCCCAATGCTCACTCGCTCTCTCAAAATAAAAAAAAATGTATTGGGGGAGCATTTAAGATATTGTGGAATATATTCATTGATTACAAAGCAGTGGTTGTGTGTGTGTGTGTGTGTGTGTGTGTGATTCAGCAGTAGATAATCTCACTAGATAAAGAAAACTTACATTGTAATAGACCCTGGTTACCATTTTACTTTTATGAAAAGCAGAATATGTTACAATATATTGTAACTATTACCTGTGCTCTGAAGATCTACTTTGGAGTCTTTACTAGATTTGTTGTCTATTTATAGAATTATTTTGGGAAAGATGGTTTGCTACTTTGTTTTGACATCAAATACATATGGTTATGTTGGGTGAATAGCTACCTGAGTGTCGCATTTTGTATCTAAAATAGAGACTCTTAAGTATATTCAACATGCAAACCTCCCTTATTTAAATACTTTGAAACAGTATCACAAAACTCAAGATTCTCCACCCCTGGCACAACCAGCAAAACAAAACTACAGTAGCAAACAGAAGTCATTTATTTCAGATATGTCCATGATTTCATTTTCTTCTCATTGCAATTTTGTTTTCTAGCTGGTCTAGTTCAGATGGTAAGGATGATCCAATTGAAGTATCTAAAGACAGTATATTTGTGAAAATCTTACAGAAACTTCTAAAAGATGGTAAGTGGTTTGTTAATATTGGAAGTTATAGCATCACTCCTCAATTTCAGAAATCTGAGAATAACGGGGATTTGCCAAGGTGTCAATGCCAGGGTGATTTAAGATTAAACAGTATCATACTCAGAATTAGACTTATTTAAAGTGAAGGAGGGGTTTTTTTCTTTCCTCTCCCAATTGGGGGAGCATGTGTCAAGGTGAAGTCTCCATCCACATGGGTCCTGGTGGACTCCAGTGGGCAAAGTCTCCATGCTGATTAGGATGGACAAGGAATGGATTCAGATGTTGGTTGTGACACCAAAAATCTGTATGATAGAAGTAGCCATTTCCTTTAATTTTTCAGTTAACTCTTGTGAAGATTGAAAACTTGAAATAATATATAAATGAAAAATAACTTTTTTTTTTTTTTTTAAGATTTTATTTATTTAAGAGAGAGAGAGCATGAGAAGGGGGAGGGTCAGAGGGAGAAGCAGACTCCCTGCCGAGCAGGGAGCCCGATGCAGGACTCGATCCCGGGTCTCCAGGATCATGACCTGAGCCGAAGGCAGTCACCCAACCAACTGAGGCACCCAGGCACCCGAGAAATAACTTTTTGATATATAACCGACCATACTAAAGTACAAATTACAGAATGCTTTTACACATCCATTTTGGACATTAACACTCTAAAATTCATCTTAGGAACAAAATAAAAAGGAAAAGAAGGGAGTATGTTTTGCACCTAAAACAGCAAAATTCCATTTGCTGATTGAGACACAAATTAGGTAAAGAAGCTTTTATGGATAAAATGCTATTCTCAGGGGGGAATCTGAAGTAGAGGATACAGTTGAACCTTGAACAATGTGTGGATGAGGGGCACTGACGCATGGTTGAAAATCCACATATAACTTTTAACTCCCTAAAAACCTCACTACCATTAGCCCGCTATTGACCAGAACCTTACCAGTAACATAAAACAGTTGGTTAACACATATTTTGCATGTGTATTATCTACTATATTCTTATAAGATAAATTAGAGAAAAATTGTTATTGAGAAAATACATTTACAATACTGTACTGTATCGAACAAATTTGCAGGTACATGGACCCATGCAGTTAAGACCCATGTTGTTCAAGGATCAACTGTATTTACTTTCACCTTTTTTCATATTACGGGGAGCTTAATATAGGGAGAGTGTTAGACTAGAAATGAGAAGTTTTGCATATTTTGTACATGTGTGGTTCATATTTATTACAGAATGTTCTGTCAAAATGTGTGATACTAAATTTAGGCAATGCACAAATTAGGCTTAGTGTTTACCAGTAATCTTTGCAGATATAAGGATACTCTGTTTTATACCAAATGGAAAAAATACATAGTGATAAGTTACTGTAAATTCAGCCCCTCTAAATGGATAGGACTTTTATCCATCATACTAACATTTACACACATTTGGAAGTTTCCTATACATATATATGCAAGATACATTATTTAATCTACATGAAACATGATGAACCCCATCCCTGGTACATAGTAGTCACTCAGTAGACATTTGTCCTTTGAATGTCTACACGTATTTTGCAGATTCGTAGCCCAAACTCCTCTGTAATGGATTGTATTCTGCAGTCTTCTATTTTAGAATTGCTGGCTTAACCAGGGGACGTGAAGGGGGACCCTTAGAAAAGTAGTGTGAAACTAACCACACCAACCAGTATTCTGAGGTGAAACAGAAGCAAACTCCCAGCGTTTGCGTGTCAGAAGCTTTTGTTTTACAGCCCATCTGATGGTCTCTTAGCATTACATTTCAGACTTGTAGTCTCCTTTTGTAAGTGATCCAGTGAAAATGTAATTCTGTGAATAGATTACTTGGAACTTGCTCATAATTGATCTGGACTTTTATTTTGAGAAAGGGATACTTGATCATCCTACCATGACAGATTTAATAGTGCATTCTTTTTCAAAGATGAGTAATAACACAAAGGTTAATTAAGCTTTTTCATTGTCACAAAAATAAAAATTAAAAATGAAATAATGAAGGGATATAGCAAAATAATCTGTCTTTTGTTTGAAAGTATTTGAAATACTTGAAATTCATAAAGAGCTGAAATGCACCTGTAGGACTTTCTCTTTTCTGTATTTGGAAATGAAAAAATAACTGGATATGATTGATTTCTCTGTACTGCTGGAGAGATTTTCCAGTTGAGCCTAACAGATTATTAGAAAGCATTTGGACCCAAATCCAATGTTTTCCATGAAGTTTGTTTCTCATAAAAGTGCCACAGTTGAATTGCGGCTAATTAAGTGTTTAGTGCTATTTAAAGGTGACTTTGCTGTTTTTGTTATTCTTAGATAATAAATCATAGATGAACAATAGGAATGGAAAGTTGTGATTGTACAGAAAGAATTGTTAAATTGTGACCAAAGGACAAAAACAAGTAGAAACTATTATAGAAATAAATAAACATATATATACAAATGAAAGGTATATATACTTATAACAAGAAGTTAAATACATTTATTTTTGGAAGCTTTTTAATAATATAGCTACGATATACAATAGCAAATGTTTTTAAAGGACAGATCCTGACGGTAGAGAGATATAGATAGCCTCATATTTCATAAGCTCTGGAAGCCAGCAATTACTTCAGTTTGTGGAAAGAATTGATTCCATAGATATATTTAACTTACCCACATGGAGCTTTTCAGTTTGCTTTTAATATTATTGAGGTATATTATACACAAAATTCATATATCATTACATGGACTTTAAGTTTTTTTCTAATTAGCCACCAGCATTTAATAGTTGAGAAGTGTTCTTACAAAAGTCTTAACTTTCTTGGGGCGCCTGGGTGGCTCAGATGGTTAAGGGTCTGCCTTCACTCAGGTCATGATTCCAGGGTCCTGGGATCGAGCCCCATATCAGGCTCCTGGCTCAGCAGGGAGCCTGCTTCTCCCTCTCCCTCTGCCTCTCCCCCTGCTCATGCTCTCTCTCTCTGTCTCCCTCCCTCTCTCTCTCTCTCTCTCTCTATATATATATATATCTGTGTCTCAAATGAATAAACAAAATCTTAAAAAAAAATCTTACTTTCTTAATTCTAAGAATCAAAATATTGGCCTAAACTGGACTGAAATATTGTCCTGGCAACAGTCAGCAATCTGCTGAGTGCTGTCTGCTTTGGGTTGGCTCTTAAGTTTACCAAGATCCCCTAGGCCGCCTTCCTCATATCACTGGGCAGAGTTTCAACGCCTGCTGTGAAGAAAAGAAGTCATCAAATATTAGTTCTAAACAGAGGGCATGCACAATAAAAATAGAAGCCAAGTAAGATGTAAAAATTTTTTTAAAGATTTTATTTATTTATTTGACAGAGAGAGACACAGCGAGAGAGGGAACATGAGCAGGGGGAGTGGGAGAGGGAGAAGCAGGCTTTCTGCTGATCAGGGAGCCCAATGTGGGGCTCGATCCCGGGACCCCGGGATCATGACCTGAGCCAAAGATAGACGCTTAACGACTGAGCCACCCAGGCACCCCAAGTTGTTTAATTTTTTTAGAGAATTGATCTTTTAGAAATTAATGTATTTTCAGAAGTGTAATGCTGTTTTACAGACAAAAAGTATTTGGAGTATTTTAATTATAATAAAGGATCTATAAATAGTTCAGATTTCACCTCATAACATTTATTATAACCCAGATTTTTATTATGTAACAGTTAAGTACAAAAAATGGTGCTAGGCACTTTGAGGGTATTGGAAAAAAAACTCAGTATTTGATTTTGAGAACCTTATGCTAATGTGACGAATGATAAAATATTGCCTTATTAATTGAAAATTTTTTTCCAGTTTTCTTTATCAAGTGAGAATATTGTACATACCTTTTTGTAACTACACAGATCCTAATTCAACAGTTTCGTTTCATCAGTGCTCATTGGCTTTCCACCTTTATAGCGGTCTAACGAAGAAATGATTCTTCACCTGTCTCATTTCAGACTATAATACATTTTGAGACACTGGAACTAGTTTTCATGATACTATTCTACTAAATTATTTCCCTATATATAATTGGATATATACTTAATATATATAATTGTTGAAATACTTGAATATATAATTATTGGAATATATAATTGTTTGCAATACTTGTTTTCAGGTGATTATTAAAAACTTCCACATTGAAGAAATGACTTTAAGCTGTGGAGAAAAATGAAAGTATTTCAGGTCTTATTAAAGACTTTAATCAGATTGGCTATTTTGACCACTAGGGGGAAAAACACTCAAGCAACCTCTTCTAAGTAAAGAATGTCCTGTCGTTAGACCTGCAAGTATGTTTGGCAGTGGAAGGAATTTAGAACAGAATATTTCCCAATAGTGGAGTGACATTATATTTTAAATAGAAGCACAGATGTTATCATTAATCATCTTCATTCATTGGGGAGTCTTATGAAAATAAAAAAGGACTTTCTGTGTTTGTGTTTATAGGCATTCAGCTCAGTGAATACCTGCCAGAGGTGAGAGACCTCCTGCAAGCAGACCAGCTTGGAAGCTTAAAGTCTAATCCTTATTTTGAGTTTGTTTTGAAAGCAAACTATGAATATTATGTTCTGGGACAAATGTAACTTTTTCTAAAAATGGTCACTGTCCCTGAAAATTTGTGTAAGCATGTCCTTATAAAAATCTTAGGCCTTAAACATCTAAAAATTTGTAGTTTTATAACATGTATTGATGAATTTTGTATACTTTATTTGAAAGCTGCTACAAAACAGCTGTGTGACTGAATGTAGTTTTGGTGTTTTGTTACAAGATATTTTCTCTCTTTTTTCCATCTAAAATGTATCACTTGTTATTTCCATGCTTGCTACCCTTTCTTTCTCTTCTCATTCTGTCGGGGGTTCTGGAGTTCTTACTCTGGTTCTGGCTACTTGTATGCACAAAGCACTTCTCGGCCTCAGTTTCTATAACTTTAAACATGACAGGATTGCACTGATTGTCTCTGAAATGGCTGTGACTCTGCACTGAAGAGAATCAAGTATTTGGTGTCTGTTTTGGTTAGAACTAGTGGGAAATATGTAGTAAGATAGATGTCAGGTTTGCTGACTTGCTATAGGACTAAAAGACTAAACAAGGCATAATTCATGTGAGCTTGAGAACTGGTTAATTCATTGGGAAAATATTAAACATTTCTGTGTAAATAATAGAGTATTAATGAGAGGAGTGAATAAGACCTGTGTTTTCTAACCTATCTGTAAGTTACCATAAAATAAGTTTATAGTATTAATGTTAGTTACAATCTTTCAGTATGGGGATTCAATTAGCTTCATGTATTTTCAAGGTGATTTACACTGAATTCCAGCTTTACCACAGTCTAATTAATGTAAAGCATGTGTTATGCTAGAAACCATTATAGGTTTTTTTTTTTAAAGATTTTATTTATTTATTTGACAGAGGCACAGCGAGAGAGGGAACACAAGCAGGGGGAGTGGGAGAGGAAGAAGCAGGCTTCCCGCCGAGCAGGGAGCCCGACGCGGGGCTCGATCCAAGGACCCTGGAGTCATGACCTGAGCCGAAGGCAGCCGCTTAATGACTGAGCCACCCAGGCGCCCCCCATTATAGGTTTTCTTAGTATGGCATCCAATTTACTGAAAAGTAGTGGTTCTCAAAGCTTCGTTGTTCTGACCAATGTCATCACTCAGTTTTTATCAGCTTTAAATAAAGACTAAAGATTGGACAGGGAGTTGCTGCATATTCAGATTTTGGCCCAGTTGAATGCTCACTAAACAACTTGCTCTGACAGCTGAAAAGGTCAGAAGTTAAATATGGTGAAGAGAGTCCAGTTCCTGGTTTCACAAAGGACAGCCGTCTGTGCCCTCTTCCCCTCTAGGCTTCAAATCCAGCCTTTGAACACGTTGGCAAGAGGAGGCTAATGGAGCTCATTACATTAATAACCGAAGGAAAGACACTAGCAGCCTTGTCTTTTTTTTTTTTTTTTTTTTGTAGCTTGTGTGTGGGGACAGCATCAGGGTCCAAGTTAGGAACCTATTGAAGGGTGCTAAGGCAAGTTGAACTTGTCAGATGGTGGATAAGAAATTGCTAAATTTTTATCTTACAGGACATTGACATTAACAGTTCTTGCCTGTATGATCCTTTTCGGTAATGTGCTCTGGGGACACAGGATTGTGCCCCCTTCAACATGCTACCACAAATCTGATAGCCCTAGTGTGACAGGAAAGCCAGTCTGAGAGTGACCCTGGCCCTGTTGATGGCATGATTTTGCATTACTGCTGTCACAGTGTAATGCATAGTCTTATTTTGAGGGAGGGGAAGGCTCGCTCTTCTAGCTGTATCTCGTCGTCAGTAGCCTAGCACCGAAATGGTTGGATTTTTAAAAATTAATAATAGTAAAATTAAGGCCTAAGATTTTGAATAATTTTTCTAAATTTTAAAAATTTCACAACATAGTCTTTATCAAAGAATTGATTTTTACATAAATAGAGTAATTGATAAAGACACATTATAAAGGTGAGCATGTTTTCTAAGGAAAGAGAAATTTTACGGACTTGGGAAAGGTTCCCCCCCCGCCCCCGTCCTTGCTTTTCTCAAAGTCACAGCTTGCAGCCTTGATTAAATGAAACAATAATGTGTTTTTGAAAGTGAACAGCCAGCTTTGTGTGCTGATATGTTTTAAGAATTTGTAAATATGGGATGCCTGGGTGGCTCAGTCGGTTAAGCGTCTGCCTTCGGCTCAGGTCATGATCTCAGGGTCCTGGGATCGAGCCCCGCCTCGGGCTCTGTTCATCAGGGAGCCTGCTGCTCCCCCTGCTTGTGCTCTCCCTCTCCCTCTCAAGTAAATTAAAAAAAAAAAAAAATCGTGAATGTGTCAAGGATGAAGGCAGAACTGGATACACATAAGGGACTTGCTGAAACCCCAGTGAAGTAAAAGGCTACTGATACCCTCCGTTGTAGGGATTTCGTTTTTTGAAGAAAACTTCAAAACTGGATTGTTTCTTTTACTTTGGGGTCTGAATCAGAGTCCTGAAGTATATCGCCCACCAGGCACACGAGTTCTGTGGGTAGATTGTGCAGGATGTTTCCCCTTTGAGGCCGATTGCTTTCTCTAGAACAGGAATGGAAGGAAAGCCACACCATAATGTCATCAGACTCACTTCTTAATCTATTGTAATCCAGCATACTTGTACATGTTGAAGCTGATAACTACAGAAATATTAATGTAGTTCTACCTGCTTATTCCTGGACCTTTAATTTGGAGAATGCCTGAAGAGAAAAGAGTTTTACATATTTCTATGTAAAATCCACTCATTAGATACCAAAATATAATTAAAAAAATAATTTTGTGTAATTCTAAAAATTTAAAGATTTTTATTTGAGAGCGAGTATGAGTGGGGGGAGGGCAGAGGGAGAAGCAGACTCCCCGCTGAGCAGGGAGCCCCACACACGGGGCTCAGTCCCAGGACCCTGGGATCACGAGCCGAAGGCAGACGCTTAACCATCTGAGCCACCCAGGTGCCCTAATTAATTCTTAAGTTAAAAAAAAAAAAACTAGAAAATGTGAAACCTATTTTTTTAAAAAGTAGATGGAAGAAGATAAAGCCCTATAATCCCACCAGCTAGAAATAGCTTCGGTTACCAGTTTGAAATGTATCTTAGGGACACCTGACTGGCTCAGTCGGAAGAGCATGCAACTCAGATCTCAGAGTCATGAGTTCAAGCCCCATGTTGGGTGTAGAGATTACTTAAACTTTTAAAAAGTGAAATGCATCTTGGACAGTTTGGGACTGTGCATACTGTGTATTCTATAACCTAGTGTATATTGTGAGCATCTCCACATATCCTTAATCCAGTGTTTCCCAGTCTTTTTCCCATTGTCATTCCTGAGGACTCTTTTTAGATAGTTTTATTCTAATCACTCCACCCGCATCCCCCCCAGCAAAGTTTAATACTGTAGATATACTGTATATTTTTTTATGTGCTGTGCTTCTGGAGGCCACAAATCATTGTAATACCTAATTTAAGATTTTTTTCACACCCTGAAGAAACAGTTCCCCCCCTTCAAAAATGCATGTCTTCACAGTTCAAGATACAATTTTTTAATGACTGCATGATACTTTACCACATGGCTGTGCCATGCTTTATTTAATGGTTCTCTGCCTCCTTAACAATCTGAACACTTGAGTTAATGGTTTTGGTTTGGGTTGGGTTTTGTTTTTTGGGGGGCGGGTTGCCTTTTTAGATACTACTAGAATAAATCTTTGTACAAAAATCTGTGTGTACTCCACATTCCTGTAAACTTACATGACTCTTCCTGTTCAGTTTGTGATGATGCGGACATGTTTAGCAAAAAGTTGTAATAATTTTGAATGTCCTTTGCTCCCCTCTTCTACCACCTCACCCCCCTCACCTCCTCCAAACACTCCGAAGAAAGATACTGTGCTATTTATTGAGTGTTTATGTCCCAGGCACTTACCTAGTTTTAATCTTCAAGTCAATGTTAAGGAGTAGGTAGTATCCTCAGTTGAGAATATGGAGTCTTTCTTGAAGTGAGCTGTTCAAGGTCACACAGCCAGTCAGAAGGGGAGGAGGGTACACCCAGAAATACTTTACTGCAAAGTGCAAGCTTTTAACCCACTTATTATGCTAGATACTAGGAGGTAGTGGGGTGGGGGGCGGAGAGCTGATGGCTCCAGTGGAATCATTAGGCCAATAGAGATGGCCACGGCAGAAGCCATGACTTCATTGCAGGATGTCTTTGGCCCCTCGTTGGAAAAGATCTCTTGAGGATCTCTTATTTTCAGAACCAAACCAAGTGTTGGGAAGTATTAAAGGAAGGTAGAAAGCAGTCCCTGCCCTGCCCTGACTACTCCTAGTGGGAGAGAGAGTCACCCAAGCCCCAGCTTTGGGACCTGGGAGTGTGGTCTAGCTCATTGGGCCTTGCTTTTCTGATTCTTAAAACTGAATGACTAGTGCCTGTCTTACTTACCTCAGAATAATTAAAAGCCTATATGCTTTTAACAATATGAAAGCATATGAAGTTTTATGAATACATATTTGATTTTTTTTTGAGAGAACGGGGGGGGGAGGAGCAGACTCCCCATTGAGCAGAGAGCCTGATTTGGGGCTCAATCCCAGGACCCCGAGACCATGACCTAAGCCAAAGGCACACAACGGACTGAGCCACCCAGGCGCCCCTGAATTCATATTTGAATCGATAGGAAACGATAGAAGGTTTAGACCCAGCGATAGTGGGGTCTGCAGATGTGTGAGGAGCTCAGGGTATAGGGCTGCGGAGGAGGGAGCTGTGAGGCCACAGCTGAGTAGCTGCACAAGGGCCCTGTCAAGTTTCAAGAGCGGGGCTGCACCTGAAAACTTAGAAGCAGGCACTCCAGGCATACCCTACATGACTGAGCTTTACTTAGTGATAGTTCTCAAAAGGGTATGCAGGCAGTCACCCGCTTATCAGGGAGAGCAGAGCACTGGTGTGTTCCCCAAAAGTGTATATGTATGGAGACAGTTTTTCCACTCACCTGTTAGGTCTATCCCCTAGGCCAATGAGAACTCAACTATACCAGAATGGGACTGGGTGGCCCCATAGTGACCCGTCAGAGACTATTTAAACAGCCCCAACCGTGGGCAGAAAGCAGATGTCTGGCCCGGTGTTCTCAGGCCCCCTCTCCCCAAGGTTTGCTGTACTAGCAGTCTCCTCCCTCCTGAGTGTTTCCTTCATAGCTTTGTGTGTTTGAAGCTCATAGACTCTGGGCTTAGAAAAGCTTGCAGTAGAAAGAACTGCACCACTGAGCAAGAGTTTGGGGAAGTATTGACAACCCCGTTCCCCTTTAAAATATCAAATTCTTAGGTATTCTTCCTACTTTCAGGGCAAAATTTAAGCTTTTCTGTTTATATTGTACCTATAGTGCATTTGCCAGTTTATTTTTTTCTAGTCTCTTCACCACCCACTGACAGCAGGACATGAGGTATTACAAATGAAAGGTAGTTTTCTGTCAGTCACTCATTCGCTAAAATAATTGAAAAAGCTAAATGCGAAACCAAGGTCGCTTTTAGCTGACCCTAAAATTTACACTCACTGCGTAAGCCCCATACTAACCAAACTATTTTTTAATTGACTGATGGTTTTAGGAAGGGCTGCCATGATGTGGACTACAGAGGAGGGTTGCTTGTGCTTTTCTGTCCCTCCTCCAGAAAATCCACACCTGTCCCAGTTGCCGAGTTCCACTACCAAATGTGAATCACAACTATTTTGGGAACACTTAAGCACATCAGAAAAATGAATGATTCCATTCTCGCTTGTCCCACGTCACTGATGTACCCCCTCAAAGCATGTCACTGAGTTCATCACAGAAAATTGTGTCTCCCTGTGCCTTCTACATCAGGGTTAGGACTGCGCTCGCTCCCCCACCCCCTGCCAAAAAAAGAAAATGTGAGACCGGCACCAACTGGATAACCTCCTCTGACCCTCACTCCACCTTACCATAAGTAGATCCAAATCCTTCTAGAAAATTTGAAAGGCATATCCCCATATATCAGTGATATAAATAGAACCGCTTCAGCAGCCTCTGGTAGATGGTGACTTCAAGATGGACTGGGAAGCGGCCTGGCCTTGGCAAGGCATCATCCTCTAAATATAAAGATGAGTTTGTTCAGCCTTTGCAGAAGGAAAAATTGCTACCCATCCTAGAGTGCAATGTCCTTGTCCTCTTTACTGGGAGAAAGGTCGAGCAAGGTTTCATTTAGTAAGGGTGCTTCACCCATTCCACCACCAGGTCGTGGGTTGTGACCCTGGCCTTTCAGTCCCAGGACAGGGACACTCTTAGCCCCACCAAGGAGGTGGGGACTTGGGAGCTCAGCTCGGCCCACCCAACCTGGGGCAGGTCAGTCCGGGAGAAGCGAACACCCCCCAAATTCACGCCCTTCGTGAACGCCCGGGTGCGCTGCGCGTCACTGAGGCGAACGGCTCCGGGTGCCCTGGCTTTGTGCCTGCCGCTGTCAGAGCCGCCGACCCGGCCTGTCCCCGGGAGCCCTCCTCCTCCTCCCCGCCTCTCCGTCCTCTCCTCCCGCCGCCAGTTGTCTGGCCCGCGACAGCTGCGCGCCCTCCCGCCTCCGGCTGCCCTCTCCGCGGTGGGGGCGGGGGCCGACTTGGGTCAGCCCTCTGAATTGGGGAGCTCAGGGGTGGAGAGGGAGAAATGAAGTTTACTGGGGGGGGGGGGGCGGGGGGTCTCCTTCCTTCCCTTCCTGGGACACCCGGTGTGACTGCTACGCCCGTCCTCTCTGTCCCACCGCTGGAACACGGCTCCCTCCTCCCTGTAGCCGCGCGTGGGGTTTCGGGGGTCTGAGTAAAGCCAAAGAAGGGTTGAAATGTGGGAGGCACCCTCCGGAGCGCCCAGTGCGAGCAGAGCGGACAGGGTGGGGAGGCCTTGCGGACAGGTGCAGCTCCGGGAGCGCAGGCGCACACACGCACCTACTGGCGCGCGCGGTGACCCTCGCCCCACCCCATCCCCTCGGGCGGGCAACTGGGCCGGGTCGGGAGGGGCCGACAGTCCGGGGACACGCTCCATATACGGCCCGGCCCGCGTTACCTGGGCTCGGGCCAGGCCGCTCCTTCTTTGGTCAGCGCAGGGGACCCGGGCTGGGGCCCAGGCCGCGGGCCGGCTGGGGGAGGGGGCTCTAGTGCCCAACACCCAAATATGGCTCGAAAAGGGGAGCGACATTCCTGCTGGGCGGCGCGGGGGGGCGGCGCCCGCGGGCTATATAAAACCTGAGCGCGAGGACCAGCGGCCACCGCAGCGGACACAGCCGAGAGAAGCCTCGCTTCCCTCCCGCGGCGACCGGGGCCCGAGCCGGAGAGCAACAGGTGTAGCCACCCGCCCAGGTAGGGCGGGAGTGGGGGAGGGGACGGGGACAGGAGAACAGTAGGACAGCGGGACAAGGTGACAGGGCACCACCGAGGGGTGCCTGGAGAACTCCGGGGTAGAACCCAACCGACTCGTTTGATCAGCCCCAAGGCCTACTTTCTGCCCCCCTGCGTCTTGGTCCTCAGAGCCACACGCGCTTTATAGAGGAGACACGACACAATCAGTTTTTGGAAACGTCTCCCAATTTATCCCCAGCCCCTTTGGGCTCCGCTACCTGGCGGCTTAGCGTGTGCCAGGTAGATTAAAGGTTTTGCTTTAGTCGTCCCAAGGGCAATACCTCCCCAACGAACTTCCCCCGAAGATCATCAGGAGCCACTATTCTCTGGGTTGGCCAGCAGGCGAAAAGGTGCCTCTGTTCTGAGCCTGGAATGTCAAGAGGGTCCGGAATGGGCCATTCCTTCCGGGATGGAGCACCAAGGCCCCTCCCACGGCCATGTCTTTGCCCCCGCACCCGCACCCGCACGCGTGCGCAGCGAGCAGGTATCGCCGGCCCTAACCTCCTAGGCGAGGCCGCGGAGGCGCGGAGAGGGTGGGCGCCAGCGCCTGGCTCTTGCCGCGGGTAGGCTGCAGGAAGGCAGAGAAGTCTCGGCGGACCCTGGGCCGGGGCTCCCGGGGTGGAGAAATCCTCCGTGTGGTCGCGACGACGCGACGACGACCCTGTGCCCTTCTCCCTCTCCCTCTCAGGGCAGCGCAGCCCTGAGCCTGGGGAACGAAGCTCGGGACGGGTCCCTTCGGCGGCTCCCCTGGCCGGCTGCGCGCCGTTCCCGGCTGGGGGCGTCCGTCGGTCCCCGGGAAGGGAGGGCTCTCGGGCCAGCGCGGCCGCTGTGCTGACGCGCCGTGTGTCTCCACGGCCTTGCTGTCCTTTGCAGAAACCAGACACCATGTGTGACGAAGACGAGACCACCGCCCTCGTGTGCGACAATGGCTCCGGCCTGGTGAAAGCCGGCTTCGCGGGCGACGACGCCCCTAGGGCCGTGTTCCCTTCCATCGTGGGCCGCCCTCGCCACCAGGTCAGGCTGCCGCCCGGCGGACCAAGCCGGGTCGGGGTCCCCGTGGAGCCGGGCCCCGGGCCACTGTGAGCCGCGGTAACGTGCGCGTGGTGTCTCCGCTCCGCAGGGCGTCATGGTGGGCATGGGTCAGAAAGACTCCTACGTGGGCGACGAGGCTCAGAGCAAGAGAGGTATCCTGACCCTGAAGTACCCCATCGAGCACGGCATCATCACCAACTGGGACGACATGGAGAAGATCTGGCACCACACTTTCTACAACGAGCTCCGCGTGGCCCCCGAGGAGCACCCCACCCTGCTCACCGAGGCCCCCCTCAACCCCAAGGCCAACCGCGAGAAGATGACCCAGATCATGTTTGAGACCTTCAACGTGCCCGCCATGTACGTGGCCATCCAGGCCGTGCTGTCCCTCTACGCCTCCGGCCGTACCACCGGTGAGTGCGC